TCCCCCCCCCCTTCCAATTCCAACCCGCATGAATTGTGGGATAGGCATCAAAAAAATCTTATTAGGCATCAAAAAAGACTTATGCTCATTCCTATGGGGGGAAGGAAGGAAGGAAGGAAGGAAGGAAGGAAGGAAGGAAGGAAGGAAGGAAGGAAGGAAGGAAGGAAGGAAGGAAGGAAGGAAGGAAGGAAGGAAGGAAGGAAGGACCCCCCAACCACCCCGCTGATTTGTAGAAGGTTGACAGTGATTAACGCACCCTTTGCTGAATCATCACTTCTTCGAGCATCATGGGGGGCGGCCCCCCCCCAACCCCCCCGCTGATTTTCAGAATGTTTGCAGAGATTACCGCACCCTTTGCTGAATCATCACTTCTTCGATCATCACCACCCTTTGTTGAATCATCACTTTCTTCGAACATCATGGGGGGGGCTGCCGCCCTCCCAACCCCCCTGCTGATTTGTAGCATGCTTACAGAGCTTAGCGCACCCCTTGTTGAATCTTCACTTCCTCGAACATCATGGGGGGGGGCTGCCGCCCGCCCCCAACCCCCCTCTGCACCGTACCTTGCGAAAGTGCTGCGCCTGCTGCGAAATCTGTACCTGACCTTCCTCACCCCGCTGATTTGTAGCAGGTTGACAGTGATTAACACCCTTTGCTGAATTATCACTTCTGCGATCATCACCACCCTTTGTTGAATCATCACTTCTTCGAACATCATGAGGGGGGCTGCCGCCCCCCCCCACCGACCCCTCTGCTGATTTGTAGAATGCTTACAGAGCTTAGCGCACCCCTTGTTGAATCATCACTTCCTCGAACATCATGGGGGGGGTTGCCGCCCCCCCAACCCCCACGCTGATTTAATGCTGCGCCTGCGTCAAACTCTGCACCGTACCTTGCGAAAGTACTGCGCCTGCCGCAAAATTCGTACCTCTTGCGAAAGTGCTGCGCCTGCCGCGAAATGTGGACCGCACTTTGCGAAAGTATTGCACCTGCCGCGAATCCGTACCTGACCTTGCTAAAGCTGCGAAATCTGTCCCTGACCTTCCTCACCCCGCTGATTTGTAGAAAGCTGACAATGATTAACGCACCCTTTGCTGAATCATCACTTCTTCGAGCATCATGGCAGCCCCCAACCCCCCTGATTTTCAGAATGTTTGCAGAGATTACCGCACCCTTCGCTGAATCATCACTTCTTCGATCCTCACCACCCTTTGTTGAATCATCGCTTCTTCGAACATCATGAGGGGGGCTGCCGCCCCCCCCAACCCCCCTGCTGATTTGTAGAATGTTTACAGAGCTTAGCGCACCCCTTGTTGAATCTTCACTTCCTCGAACATCATGGGGGCCCCGCTGATTTACTGCTGCGCCTGCGTCAAACTCTGCACCGTACCTTGCGAAAGTGCTGCTCCTGCCGCGAAATTGGCACCTCTTGCGAAAGTGCTGCGCCTGCCGCGATATCTGGACCGCACCTTGCAAAAGTATTGCACCTGCCGCGAATCTGTACCTGACCTTGCAACAGTGCTGCGCCTGCTGCGAAATCTGTACCTGACCTTCCGAAAGTGTTGTGCCTGCCACGAGATCTGGACCGCACCTTGCGAAAATGCTGCGCCTGCCGCGAAATCTGTACCGCACCTTGCGAGAGTGCTGCGCCTGCCGCGAAGTCTGCACCTGACCTGCGCAAGCGTTGCGCCTACTTTGCGAAAGTGCCGCACGTGCCACGAAATCTGTACCTGACCTTGCGAAAGTGCTTCGCCTGCCGCGAAATGAATAAGGTGTCTTTTGATCCCTATATTTTTTGTTTTGATCCTCTGATTTTTCATTTTTAATAGTAAATCAATGAGAATACGTTTTTTGATCCCTAAAAAGTTTTTTTGATATTTAGACATAAGTTTTTTTTGATGCCCAAAAAGTTTTTTTGATCCCTCACCCATGAATTGTTGGGGGGATTCCCCCCCCCCCCCGAATTCCAATTCCAACTTCCATGAATTGTTGGGGAGATTGAGGGTTTGCCCACCCCCCCAATTCCAATTCCAACCCCCATGAATTGTTGTGGGGATTGAGGATTCTCCCCCCCCTAATTCCAATTCCAACCCCCGTGAATTGTTGTGGGGATTACATAAATTTGTGTTGGATGATAGGATTCTCCTCCCCAATCCCAATTCCAACCCCCATGAATTGTTGGGGGGAGTGAGGAATCCCCCCCCTCAATTCCCACTCCAACCCCCATTAGTTGTTGTATATATACTGTAGTTATATTAGTGTCTTACATTTTGTAAGTTAATATTGGTAAGATTATTACAACTTGTTAATTCACAAGTTGTTGTTTATCCATCATTAACTGAATTCCATATAAGTGATTTAAGTGAACATAATAAGTATTATACAGATTGTTTAAATCTAAATGAGTTAACTGTTAAACATGTTAATACTATATCAGTTATTAATGTAGGAAAAGTAACCAAACTATTTTTGCGTAGTATTAAAAATTGTAATATTAGTTTAAATATACATAGTTTAAAAAATAAATACTATGATGTTAAAACAACTGAATATAACTGTGTTTTTAAGCAATTTAAGTATTTTTAAACACATTACTATTAGACAATTGTAGTGAAATATACTATGTTAAAAATCCATTTGTTAAATCAGCACATATACAACCATGCAAACATTTACAAGATATAGATTTACATAATTTCGAGAGTATACTTAGATACTCGTATTAGTTTTCATCAGTCTTATTTATCAAACAATAACTTAATAATATTGACTTTAAATAAAATTCATTCACCTGTAACTTTACATTCATTATCACTAGACAATTTGACAGTTATTGGGCGTGGTCATCTAAATCAATTAAATTGTTATAGGTTAGTTACTGTAATATTGACTTATAGTATGCATAATAAATATAATACTATCAACCAACTTAGAATAACTAGCTGTCTAAATAATATTGTTATTGAAAGCAGAGATAATGTTAATGATATTAAAAAATCACTCATCCATTTAAATGTAACATATACAGCCCTAATATATAATGAACTAAGATAATATTGATTAAGCAATTATTTTTCGAAGCAATATCTTCTCCATAATGATGACCTAGTACCGTAGACATTTTGGCTCAAGCTTGTTGTTCAAGGCATTCCCAGCCTTTTTGTCGTTGCTAGGTTTTGAGCTTTGCGCTATATAGTCGAACCGTGTCATGTCTTTCCAGACGTTGTGCATGAACCTGATTAACAAGTGCAAAGATATCATTGCCAATGAGATGGGGGGAAAAAGCAAATGCCTCAGGTAAGTTGATTGATGCGATTGATCTCGCTCAGACCACTTGCGATGACCACGGGCGCCTCTGTGCAACCTCGGCTTACGCGCTTTTGATGTCGGGCCTCTTTGATCCAGCGTTTTTGTGCGCTGTTTCGACGACGCTTACGACCGATTTTGGCGTTCCGCCTTCAGGCAGCTTCTCGCGTCACAAAATGTTTCGTTGATTGTGATCAAGCGCTTTTTTGGTTGATGTACTATATTTATACCACTGTTGATCGAAAGACGCACGGCTTTGTCGGTGATCCGTCATCGCAGACCCGTCTTTGGTTATTTGCGGACTCTGATCACGCAGGTGAACACGATTCGCGCAGTGTTTTCTTGCTTAGTCGGACCCACTACATTTTATCCTTTGACTGCTTTCTCGAAGAAGCAGACATCAACGGCCGTGTCATCAACTGAGGCTGAGGCAATTGCAGCTTAAATGTTGCTTTACGTGCCGTTGGACTTCCGTCTTCCTGTTTCTGGGAATTCATAAACCCGAACGTGCACAATTACCTACCCCATCAAAAAATCCAGACTATTGGTTGCATGATGTCACCCAAGTTTACATAACCAGAGTCCACAACAAAAAGAGGAACCAGCTTTATATTCCTTGATGGACGATTGCCCGGCTGGGACCCAGGCCTTGTACGGTTCAACCCTTTGAGGATGGCATCGACATTGATGTCTCCAAGATAGGCGACTAAATCCACATGGACTGGCAAGACCTACTTCCTCATGCGGGGGGCTGGTGAAGTCGACCTTAACATCGAGGCAAAGGAGATCAGAGAAAACCTCACGGACTTTGATTATGTTGGAAATGAACAAACTGGAAATGAAAATGTTACGCTCATCAACAATACATTTGAAGGTGTTCTCCTTGAGGAAAAGCAGGCTACCATTCGAATTCTCGATAGTGGAAGGTCTCCAGCATTTCGCCACGCAGAAAAACCACAACGGGCAAACCTTGCGTGATTGGCGGAACAGTTCAGACGGAAGCACTACAAGCTCACTCTTGTTTCAACAGAACTTCAAGAGGCTGACGTTCTTACAAAGCCTTTGGCCAACAATCGTATTCTGATTGAACTGTGTTGGTCGCATGAGTCAAAGCTTGGTCATACTTCACGTCGTCCTGCTGAAGGCTTTTACATTATTTGCATGACACAAGATGAGCGTGTCATTGACGAGGCCAAGAATGTTCCAAGTTGAATCCCGCAGGCAAGATTCCAGGTTCAGTAGGGGTGAGCGTTCCATGTACCAGTGGCACTTCATGCTCTCATATCAGCATGAACCACAACACTGCGAGGGAGAAGGTCAGACGTCACCGACCCATGCACAAGAGAATGTGGTCAGCATTTGCTGATCTTGTGAATTCTTTGGAGTTTGCCATCGCTATCAAATGGCCAAGAAGTTGCGCCTATTGGAGCGACAAAGCTGTGGACAAGTTTGTCATCCGTTTTGAAGACTGTTGACGGCATCCCCATCAAAAAACCATGGACCATTAAGACTAACACACGCTGTTTTCACAAATAGTTGATGGGAGAACTTGTTCACGTACTGTTGGTCATGCGGAAGGTAGGGGGTTGAACCTTAAAAATACTGAATCCTACACGTATGTCCTGACGGACCTGATTTGCAAGGCCTTTGCATACGCAGCATCGATTCAACTCAAAGTGGCTATTTGATCATAAAGCGCCTATTCCCGTCAGGACCTCACGCCGCTTGAGTTAATTTGGTTGTTTCTGATCCCCAATACTTGTCCTCCTGTCTCACCGTCGGACACGGAGGGTGTATTTTCCTAAATGATGATTTATCAGCCCCAATATTCATTGCGCAATCAAGAGTAGAGGCGTAAAGCGTAGAAGCGCAGTAAAACGTAGAAGTGCAAATAAAGCGTAGAAGCGCAAAAAAGCGCGTGGAAGCGCAGAAGCGTAGAAGCGCAATTAAGTGCAGAAGCGCAAAAGTGCAATTATGCGCAGAAGCGCAGAAGCGCAATTAAGCGCAGAAGTGCAGAAAAGTGCAAAGGCGCAGAAACGCAACAAAACGTAGAAGCGCAATAAAGCATAGGCTTCTAGGCCTCTCCGCGTCGTAGATTTTTGCAGCTTTTAGGCTTCTAAGCATGGCGCCGGTATTAGGCTCCTAGGCTTCTAGGCTGGCTTCTAGGGCTTCTAGGCGTGACGTCAGTATTAGGCTTCTAGGCTTCTAGGCGTGATGCAAGTATTAGGCTTCTAGGCTTCTAGGCGTTACGCAACCCAAACCCCCCTACTCTCCACAATTGAACAAATATTGAATCAAATTTTAATTACTAAAGATACGAAACAAGTAATGAACTGAATACTAATATGAAAATAAATTTCGTAACATATTGATATTAGATTATACAGAATTGTTAAGTAATCTTAAAATTGGAGAATATATACAATATCATTCTCGACATGGTGTTTTTATAAATATTTTAAGTGCTTTATTTGCTGAATTTTAATTAAATTTGATGAACATATGGATACTATCAAAATAGATGTATTTTTATCACGATAAAATATTGTATGATTTTTTATGAATCTAATTTCTCATGATGAAATTATAAATCTTGCAAAATTTCTATGTTAATATAAATATAGTTTATATAATAATGATAAGTTCAATATTAACATGATTAGAAATATATGTATTTGTGATTTGAATAGAAAAGGTTGTCCAACATTTACGCAGAATGTAATCAATCATTTATATCGCTATTCAATTTTTCTAATAATGTCAGCAAGTGTGTTTCTGACAATCTTATATAGCTATTTGTATATACATCATCGTACCAATAAAAATAAGAACTTATTACATAATATTAAAACAAATTTAACAAAATTAAAATATATTATTTAAATGAGATGATTAGTGTAGTGAACAATATGAAAAAACCCTCCCCCAATTCCCAATTCCAACCTCCATGAATATTTGGGGGGATTGAGGATTCCCCCCCCTCCCCAATTCCAATTCCAACCCCCATGAACTGCTGGGGGGATTGAGGATTCTCCCCCCCCCCTCAATTCCAATTCCAACTTGTTGGGGCTTGAGGATTCAAACCCCCATGAATTGTTGGGGGGAAACAGCGAGCTTTTTGACCGGCCGGCGCTCAGGTTTCCCAGAGCCACCATGATCCGTGCCTTCTTCTCTGCGGTGGTTGCGGCCCTCACCTTGGCCTGGTACGACCCCCTGGGCACGGGCAAGCTCACGCTCTTCGAGGTGAGCTATCAGTGGCTCAGCGACAACCGTGGGTCAAAACCGGTCAAAACCAACGGGGTCCCATTTTCGGGTAGGTGAATTCACCACCCATTTTAGTCGGGATTTTAGTGGGAATTGGGATGTTCACTGGGGGTACGGGCTGTTGACCCATGACCATCTGACGAGGAGTCCAGCTTAATTAAGTTTGTTTTTGTGTCTTTGGTTTGGTTTTGGTTTTGGCTCTGTTTTGTATGGTTCGGTTGGTTCATATATGTGTTGTTGTCTGTTGTTTTCCTGTGCTGTTTGCTGGTTTGGGTGTTTGCCGGTCTTGTGTGTTTGGTGGTTGGTTGGTTGGTGATCGTGGGTCTCAAGCGGGTGGCTTTTATGGACCCTTTGACCCAAGACAAACCAGGAGACCACTGCTTTTTTGTCCAGCATCGGGACCCTTTCTTGAAAATTAGGGCACCCGCAAAGAGGGGTTTCTGAGAACCTTCGGCCCGACTTGTTTCTGTGAGGAACGAGCCAGCCCTCTTGGAGTATCCACTATTTCTGGCCATGGGCTGTGTGGGTGGCCTCGTAGGGGCCCTCTTCGTGAAACTGAACATCCAAATCAGCGACTCGGCAAAGAGGATGTCAGTGGTGGAGAAGGGTCCGGTGCTGGTGAAGGTGACTTGTTTCACTGTGCCACACGTATCCTGTACGGGGCCCTGTTTCAACCGTCCTGTTGTGTTGCAATATGAACTTTACTCGATGTCCTGCCTCGTTGTTTACGACCTGCTTTGCAGTGTACGTGGAATCCCGTTTTCCGAGTTGCGAATGCACATGTGTTATTAATCCTCGCCGGATGTTCATCAGTGAGTTAATGGAACTCACCAAAGCCTTTGGAGCCTCTGGTGTCAACCATCGGCCCATACCTGAGCGCAAAAACAGGTGCTCCAATGTTCACTTCACCTTTCCACCCACTTTTTTTTTGACTTCAACCAGCTTCCCTCAAGTGACTCGACCTTTTGGTGCTTCAACGCTGCAACCAATTTTGATCAGCATTCCAGAAGTTTGTTTCTTCATATCCAAATCCTTTAATAAAGCAAGTGAACCAGTCATGGCCCCCCCAACAACAAGCACCAGGAACAAACTTAAAATGAACCCTCTCAAAGCACGCCAACTGAGGGTCTTGGTCGCCCCCCGCGACATTTTAGGGAGATGGGTTTGAACAGCAGCCCGCGTTTTGGGTCAGCTAGCAAAGGCGTCCCAGCTTGCACCAAAGGCCAAGCTAGGGCGTGTAGGATCCAAACCAACCCTCTTGGGCCATTTGTGGGATCTCATAATTCTAAGGGTAAACTGGGCAAACCATGGAACAGAGTCAGAAAAGTTGTTTTGTCTCTGAACGCCCATGGGCGAGGCGAAGCCCGGAAGGATGGCTCGGCCTTCAGGGAGAAGGTGCCTATCACCCTGGAGGCTCGGTGCCTTTGGCGCTCTCCCGCCCCTCAAAAAAGGAACAACCACACAAATATGGGATATTGCCCCATCTTGGGGGGATGTGCCATTTTAATGACTTTCTGGGAAATATGGAGGAGAAGCGCCCTCCAGCTCTGAAACAGAATGCACAATCCAATCAACGAGGGAAGGGTTCGCGACCGGAGGCCGTTGGGAAAGGACCCCCCTTGCCATTTGCAAGGTTTATGTATCCGGAGTCCACATTAGATTACAGTCAGCTTCAAAATCAAAGTCATTTACTTTATGAGGATTGTGTCTTCGTTATCGAACAACGATGCGGGACGTCCAAACAGTAAGAGTGATCCCCGAAACCTGAGAAACAATACCTGAAAAGCGATAGGGGACATCCTATCGAAATGAATACACCCCAGGCCAGGACTGTTGTACGCTGATGATATTCTGGGGTGAATTGTCGCGGCCTCACCCAAGGTTCCCTTCATCAAGATCCTTTATTTGCATTTAGCTAGTGACTCTAACTCACCCAAATTTTGGGGGGCACCCTCCCAGCATGGAACACGCCAGGCCCCTTCAAACGTAGTCTTGGGGTTTCTTGGGTCCATGTGTTCAACGCGGGACCGGCCGTTTCCTTCCACAGAGCTGCCAGGTGGCGCTGATTGCCCTGTTCACAGCCATCACCAGCTACCCCTCCATCTACACCAGGGACCTCTCCAGTCTTGCCATCCACTCGCTCTTCTGCAGCTGTTCGAGCCCTACGAACGGTGCACTTGAACCAAATTGGCAAACTTTTCTCCAATGACCGCTTTTCCCAGGCGCAAAGTCCACGTCCAAACAGCTCCACTGTGACATTTCCGGGTGGCTGGTTAACAGTATTTGGCTATTCGATATTATAATAAATAGGTCCTGAAGCGTCTGCACGACAGCTTTGTGCGAGGCTTTTGGTTTGCCAAGGGGGTTAGGTCCTTTGGTCGCGGTAGTAGATAGGACAAGTTTCCCCCCTAAACCAATAATTAATACTAATCGATACAGAATCCATACTAATACTACACCAGCAACACCAACTGAGGCCGAAAAAGCCAACTGTTGTGACACCCCCCCCCCCCACTACAACAGCCGCCCAGACATATTTTGAGGGGGGGGGGTACAGGGAAGCCCCGAAAAGTTAACAATAATAATGAGTGGTTGAGGGGAGGCAATCGAGAAGACACAGTTTTCTGTAGACCATTCCCAACTAGTACTAAACCAAAACAAAACTAATGCTAAGTTAGTACTTACCAATACCAAGCCAATCCTTAGCAACAACCAACTGAGGCTCCAAACAATGACATGTTTGTTTTCACTACAAGCAGCCGCGCATTTGTTCAAGGGGGTGGGGAACAGGAAAGACCGGACAAGTTGTCTAATCATAAAACATGTTGAAAGGGGAGGAGATACACCAAGAAGACTTTGGGCCAGCATTGAGGAAATACTAAACAAATGCTAAAGACTGCTGAACCAGTACAAAAGATTGTAAAGCAGTTCTAAAGTAGTATTCAGCAGCACTTACTGAGAGACTTCTTGAGGCCCAACTCTGAGCCTCAATCTGTTTTAGGTTTTTCCCCGTTGACCCCCAATTTGCGTTAAAAAAATGTTTCGGGGGGGGGGGGCTTTTTCTAGTCACTCCCCAACATTAATCCCCAATTTTGAGGGTAATTTTGAGGATTTCAGGTTTGTACAGAGAGACCGTTTCTCCGCACAGAACGCAGCCCCGCCTCCAAGTCAAAGCTTTTCGCGAAAGCATGTTTGCATGGGACGCATCATCATGTCAATGGACATACGTTGCAAACAAGTCCGTCAAGTGTCAAGTTATCAAGCACCATGGAACGCAAGCCGCAGCGGCAGGAACACGGCTCGTTGTTCAGCGTTGGCAAAAAGGTAATCCCTATGAAACACAGCATGCAACCATGTTCCGCAAACTTGGCGCCTCGTTGCCCGAAGTGTGAAACACGCATGGAATGCCTGGTTGACTACCTTTGGCTTGGAAACGCTTTTGCCGGCATGGAGAGGGGTGAGATCGCCAACTTGTTTGAAACATGACGGTCCTTTTGTGGAACGCTGCTGAGTTTTACACTTTTACTGAGAACCTGCAGGGGCTTTTGGACGAGACCACGGACGAGACGTGTTGAGCACGCCCGTGCCACAAGCACCTGCAGGAAACGGTCCACTTGCCCCACTCCTCTTTGAACAGAACCCACAAGCAGCAAGCAGATCCCGCGAATGCACAAACAGCGGAGCAATTCCGCGTAGCTGGTTGCTCGCCAAGCGAAGCCAAAGGTCTTTTCAGCGCTTTGCCATCTTTTGTCGGTCGTGGTTCGCGATCTTCACAGGTAGCAATCCCTTTTCGGGCTCCTTTGCCTGAGCCAGTCATCATGCCAGATGGTGGGTTTCCTTCTTGTATTGGGATACAGGATGCAGATTAGGATTCGGGGTTGCCAGGTCCAAGTACCTTCCGAGGAGGTACTTGAACCCTTACCTCTGAAAAACGGTACTTCTGAAGAACCAGCCATGAAAGTGACATCCTTAAGAGTACCCTCTCGATTGTGATTGAAAGTGTCCCCAAAAGTAATGTTGAAAACCCCTCCATTTTCTTGCACCATTTGGGGCCCTTCGCAGTGAGCCATCAGAACCCGGCGTTGAGTTTCTGCCGTTGGCTTTCGGTAGGCCATTTTAATCCCAGGTTTTGGTTATGACCCAAGTGAGCGCCCCCCCCCCCCCATATTTCTTGGCCACCTTAGGTGGCCTACCACCTGTTTTTATTGGGGTTATAGGCTAGTGGAGCTGTGTTGGACCCAAAGGTTCGATCGGTTTTGAGCGCTCAGGTGTCGACCGTTTGACTTTGTGCGAGGGCGACCAAGAGGCGGCGAGCGCTTCGCTGGTGGCGGCTTTGCTTTTGGCCGCCGCGGTGCGCTTCGCCCAAGTGACCGTCACCTTCGGCACGGGCGTGCCCTGCGGCCTCTTTGCGCCTCACCCAAACTGATTCTTTGACCGACCGCCAAACCTGCACTTGGGGAATCCAATTTGGATTGTGGGTTACTGCAGAATTTGCAGGAACCCTGACACAAGGGCTGGATATTATGTATGAGGTCTACATCCGTTGTCAGGGGGGCCCTTTGGTGGCTAAAAGGAAACTATGTAAAAGTAGGGAAGGTCCGTGTGTTTGTATCATCATCTATTTCGCACCAGGCTGTCCAGGCACCATTGCGCGTCTTTTCTTGTGATTGCAAGTTCGCAGCTCTCAAGGAAGTGAGGCCAAGCCGCGAGAAATTAACTCCTTGTTTTCGAAGCCATGCTTCCAAGCCACCTCTGAACATGAACATTCAACCCAAAAAGGGGTTCCAATCCCAAAAAGCTCCTAAACCCGATGACCACCTTTGATTGGTTCCGAAAGCCTCGTCAGGTGCCTTCCCTGTACGTGGGCGCCTGTTTGGGCCGATGTTTGGGCATAGTGGCGGCCTGGGGCAATGGCTACCTCCACTTTGCCCAGCGTGTCCATCCAGGCGCCTAGATGGACGTGTCTGATATATCGTCTCAATAGGGGCACCACCAGGATGGGTGGTTTCCTGGAGGTCCTTCTTTGGATTCCATTTTGCTAGCATCTTACCTGTTGGTTGCTAAGGGCTGGCAGGTTGTGGGTTCAAGTGTTCGGGTTGGTTCCAACTCAAACCAAAGGCGAAACCACCTATTGTCGCGCAATTTCATTTGGAGACAAACCCTCCCTTTACGACAACATGGTGCCAAAGCAGATCAACCATTGACCTCTTGGTGTTGCAATCGGGGCAACCAGTTTCAGTCAACGCTCCAAACGGTTTGCGTCTTTTGGGCAAGGGAAGGACGATAGGGTAAGAAATGGTATGATGGCTTTGCCAATGTTGCTCTCTTCTTTGGTGCCCCAAGAAGTAAGAAGTGACAGCTGAGGCGTGTACGCAATGGTGGGCGCTGCTTCCGTCTTGGGCGGGGTGTGCCGCGTGACCATCTCGTTAGTGGTCATCATGCTGCTCCTCCAAAACTTGGCCCCTAGGTCGTCTCCAGCCCAGCAATCCGTGTTTGCCTGCTCCTATGAGACTGTGATTGAACGCGGGTGGTTTGATGGAACAACCAGTTTTTTACAGGGTGTAAGCAGGTGTTGTTTTCCCCTTAATATGAGGGCCATAGTGATTGGGAGTCATGCTATAATTGTGGCTAGGGGTTGAACGCATGCACGTGAGAGGAAGACAAATCTTCCGTTTTTGCAACAGCTGTTCGTTTGATGGACGGTATATCTTTTTTGTGTCAATGTTGCCTTTCGCTCCATGCGTTCCTGCCGCCTACCCCTGGCAGTTGTTCAGTTGGACACTTGGATATGTGTCGTAAAATAGGGGGGCCCAAGAAATGGTACGTTTCCTTTTGGTTGCCCTTTAAACCAAGCTAAAAGAGTACCCTCAGAACAACACCCACTGCCCAAGGTTCGAGCTAACGGGTGGCACTCACCTGATCCTCCCTTTCATGATCGCGGTCTTGGCCGCCAAGTGGGTGGGGGACCTCTTCAACGACAGCATTTACGACTCTCGCTGAAATATGGGCCGTGCTGAGTCGAGTTCCTGGACTCGAACAACTTGTTCGGAGCATTTCAGTGGCCAAAGCATCTTTGACCAATCAGGTTTCTGGGGGAAATTGCACACCAAGCTTCGGGTTGTAAGACTACGTTGGGGCAAGCCTACACGTGTTAGCTGGTGCCTCCTGGAAACATGGTGTTGGGGCCACTTGTTGCGCTACCAGCGACATTTGCTTTTTCTTTGTCCCTAATTCTGTGTATATACATATATTTGGATATCGCAGACGGGGCGATGCTCAAAGCCCTGCCAAAAAAATGTTTAGCTCAAATCAGCAGTTTGTCCCGCACTTTGTCCGGCACTTTGTCCCGCACTTTGTCCCGCACTCTGTCCCACATATCGAGGGGGGTAAGGGCATTCGTCAAGGGATATTCGTTTTATGTTTGTCCCAGGGCTTTTCAGCACTTTTCTAAGGACTGCTGCATTCACTTGAGGGGCTACCCCTACCTACATGAGCCCGGGGATGTGACCTACTCGACCCGAGCCTGTGACGTGATGCAGGACGGACCGGTGGCTTCAGCTCGTTCTTGGGGGGAACCCGATTTTGTGGGTGGAGAACCAGCCTTACCACGGGTGAAAGTGGATGGAACCTCCCTTTCTGCCGGGTTTAGGGATGAGAAAACCAAAATGGACCGAGTGTGGCACCTACATTCTCTCAAGTGCATTCTAGGGAAGGATTGCTCAGAAAACTGGTTCTGAACGAGGTAAGATCCAAGGCGTTTCAGAGGCCCAACATGGTTTCAGGAGCTGCGTCCAAGCAAATCGACAATAGGATGGCTGTGTGAGTTGCCCTCTTTCCAACAATCATGGAAGTGGACAAGGTTGTTGGAAGGCAGAATCTTTTTTTAACCGCATCCTTTCCATTTCCTATGATGAATGCTGGGAGGAAGGGTATGTTAATTCACCCAAAAGATGTCATTGCATGGGGCGCATGTCCATCCGAATATCCTTTTGGGAAGGTCGGACCCCGTGCGGACGTGTGCGGGATGCCTTCACCAAATTCCGTAGCCTTGCTTGTTGTACTAAAACTCAGGGTCACAGGACAACCAAGTCTTGGCTGCCTCTGGGTTGGTTAGACCTTTGGTCTTTTGCCTTGCTTGAAACGACCGCAGGTAGACGAAAACGAGTAGGGAGCTTCCGCTCTCTTGCGCAATAATTTGTTCCGCCAGAATCGCCCGTTTCCAATGGATTTGGGGCAGACCAGACCCCTTGAATGCGGTGAACATGTAGCATCGGTTGACCTTGGAATACACCCTCTTCTTTGGGGAAGGCTTAAGGCATGAAACCCGTCATAGCGGAACGAGCTACCCACATCCACCCAACTGTAATATAAACTCTGCAGGCAGGTTCAGAGTTGAATTTTTAGCCACATGCTCGTGACTTGTGACCGTAGATGTTCTTTTGAGTTCAGCTGGGTTGAACAAAGACGGCCCTGGTTTCACTTTGTCGTTCCAAGTTGTTCCGGGTCTGGCGGCTGAAAGCAGGGCGTCGTAAAGGCTACATTGCAAACATCACCTGCTTTACAAGGGATCCTGTGAAAATGAGCTGGTACTTGGCGGATTTTCTTATTGTGGCCAGCGTCCTTTCGACTGGGCCTGGGTCAAAATCCAAATCGTACCCCCAGTGAACATCCCAATCCCCACTAAAATCCCGACTAAAACGGGTGGTGCACCTTTTTACCCCCAAAATGGGATCCCAAAACGGTTTTGACAACCACGGCCACTGTGAACACCTGTTAAAAGGAGCTGGTACTTGGGCGGATTTTCTGAGTGGTGGGCATCCTTTCGACTGTGAAAAGTGTTCCATGCGAGGAGGAGTTGCATTGCCTGGGTGTAGAGCCTGGGCCCTTGGGCGTGCTGCTGAAGGAGCTTCGGGAGGCTCCCTTCAAAGGCCGAACCGGGCGAAGCAGTGCATGTCTCCTTCGCTCCCTGAACTTCCCCAAAATTAGCTCCCCTTTTTCCTTTTTTGCTTTTTTGGGGTCCCTTTGTTTTCCACTAAGGCAAAAAATGTCTATTTTTTCGCTGGGGTCCTAATTCCAGCCTAGTGAAATGGGGGGTCCCTCGGCGCGTTTGCTTCTTCTCACTCCCTGAGTTCCTGGACTTGAGTCAACTTTTTTGGGGAAGACCAGGTGAGTGGCAAACAAAAAAGTTTGGACTTGGTTTGGCCAATGCACTCAGGGAGTGAGTCTTTGGCTAGCCAGCAAGGGTACCCTCAAAAGGCACACCTTGAAGTGTGGGTGGCTGTGTGACATAGGACTCGGGTTCAGTTTTGTCAATCCATTTAGGATGTGAGATATGGCCTGTCGACACATGTTTGCCCTTTACCCACATTGCATGCGGATAGAACGTACTTGAATCCTATGTTTGGGGACGCTTAGTGGAATCCAGGATTAACAAACCACTTGAACAATGAGGGGTGTCCCAATTCGATCCGGGAGTCCGCATCACACCTGACCAATGGAGCTCAAAACCCAACGTGTAGAGGAACATCCGTTTGTGGAACCATTGTGTGGTGCTTCCATGGGAAATTTGAGAGGATATCTCCACTGGGTTCTTGCATCTTAGATATGAGTGACAATCAAAACCCGGGCAAAAAGAAGTGTAGTAAGGGACAATCCCCTTGCCATGAATGTGTGCCGAATTCCGCATTTTCAGGATCTTGAAGCTCGGTTCTGGGATTTCGGGTTTTGCTGACTCCTATGAAGGCGAGCGGCGCCTTCTTCGGGGTGAAGCGAGCGGCGCGTGTCGGAGCGCCAGGCTTTCCAGTGGTGAAAAGCGAAGACGACTTCTCAGTCGTGGGCTACGTGAAGTCGAAGCCCCTGCAGAAGTTCTTAGAGGCCGTTGTTTTGTCCATTAATTGGACTCAGGGTCATGGTTGCCTTTGGGCCGGGGTCTCCGTTGAAAATATGTTGAGTTTTTGCTTTTACATATTTAAGGGTAGACTAAATGTGAAACATCGTCTGGAAATATGTGCGTTTTGCGTATACCAGTGGGACAAGTAGAAGGGGACACCTCAAATAGTTGTCGTCCCTTTCGCTTCCCTTTAACATCAACCCAATAAGGATTCCTTCAAAAACACAATTTGAGGTCTTAGCAAATCACCAGTAAATCATGTATCCTTCCTTGAAGCATTGAGGAGCACACGGCCGAAACGAAACTGGCCCGAAATGACACGTGTCAGGCACGAAGCGTGGCGCCTCTTGATTGGAGCACAGGCAAAAGAGCCGCACTCACGGACAAAAGCACGCTTTCGGCCCCCTTCCTTCTCCCAGCGCGACAAGCTTTTGGAGGTCGACCCCAGCAAGTCTGCAGAGTGCCGTGCACGAACATGGTACAAACAACCACGAGGCTTTGACGGGTGGCTCTGCCAATCTTGCTGGCTTGCTGGCAAGAGTTGAATACAGCTTGCTGGCTCAAACCTGCGCGCAATCCACGCCGTACCCACGCCCCTCAAAGCTGGTTGATTGTGGGAGGGAGGCTGCCCCAGTTTCCCTTCAACAAGCAGATGCATGGAAGTGGGGCTCCCCTACAGGTCCAAGTAGCCATGCACCGCACAGCCCGCAATGGAAACAGGGAAGCCCCTAAATGACCATGTCAGCTGCCTATTTTGCGGCGAGCTCACCTAGAAGTAAAACGAGCTCGCCATGATGTATTTGGATTCTTCATCTGAGGATCCTTAGCCTTAGGTTTTGGAATTGTAAAACAGCCGAATTGGGGCCATGCCAGGATCAGCTTTGTCAGAACAACGACGACTCGGTGCCGGTGTCCTTCCGAGGCCGGCCTGGGGCGATCAACGCCGACTTTTTGCTGGATACTTCGGTGCTGTCGGTGGTGCCGGACACGCCTGTGGTACTTCGGTCGCTTATGGCCTCTTCCTATGTGTGCGCATGTGTCCAAAAGAGAGGGATCCCCAAAATGGGTGGTGTCTCTTTGGTCCCGTTTTTGTCCTTTACAAACACAGCAGTTTAGAGACTTGTTCAACGTTTGTGAAGATCAATTTTGTGGTCAACGCAAACTATGTGTGGCGTTTTTGCGTTGGACCAGTTCTCCAAGGAAGCGGGCCATGGTGGGTTTGCTTGCACCACGGAAATGGGCCAGGCCTTGTAAATGGAACCTGACAAAGGGTCCCTTCAAACAGAGAATGGTCTTCCAGGACCCGGCTGTCAGGTTCCATGTTACTTGGGGGGCAATTGAGAACAGGTTCATGAGTTGCCCACGGCCGGCATGCTGAGCCTTTCATGGGTGAGCACGTAATGCTGGGCGTTGTGGCAAGCTCACCGATCCGAATGCAAAGCGAGCGAGTTAACCGATGAAGGCTCCCTAGGGATCCCGAACGCCGCAAGTGCAGTAGTTGAAAAGAGGGATTGTAAGCCCTGGCTTACGGATTCCTGAGTCCCGGGCTGGGAATTATAGTGTTCCCAAGGATGCATGTTTGTTTTCTTTGACATAGTGGTCTCCCAAAACGGTTGGTATCATTTGGTATCCTGTTGGCTTCTAAATACAACCCAAAAGGGACGGCAAAGTCTTTTTGGCGAGCGATGGCTCGTTCGACCAGCGGCTGGGTTTGGCCCTTGGGCAGTGCATATGTGCTTTGCAAGTTTGGTCTATGACGTTTCCACTATCCCAAACCGCCACCCACAGAATGTCCCTTGGGAAAGGACATGCTTACGACTTGCGGCTGATTTGTTACTAGTTGGTTGACCGGGCTGTATAGGTCTGGGTTAATGGGAATTATAGCACAGGCTTATCCAACACTTGATAACTTTTTGCACGGCTGACAAGCTCACTACAAATGTCTCTTTTTCGGGGGCCATTGTTGGGCGGCGTCACTGAGTTGGCAATCATAGCAAGTCGAGCGTGTTTCACGCCCAAGCAACTCCCCAATCTAGCCAGGTTTTCGCGCGAGAGTTGTTTTGACGAGATTCCAACTTCCCCGTTTCCAAGCCATTCCCGTTCCCTTGTTTCCCCAAACAAGGCCCGAATAAGGAAACCAGGGCAACTCCACTTTCACATGTCTGAGGCACAAGTCCACAGCATCTTCAGACACATGGGGGGCAAGTTGGTCTTTGTCACCCGCCTGGGCCAAGTAGTTGGCATCATCACGAAGCTCGGAGAGAAAACGTCTTAAAACGTGAGTTCCAAGATGTTTTCCGTCGAAGCCAATTTCAGCACCACTTGTTGGACCAGCTGTGGCTAATGTTCCTTTGGAGGGGTGATGGTTAAGGGGCAAACATAGGCGATTGGTTCACCCGGTAATTGTTCCGCCTGATGATTGAAGATGAGGATGGGGCAAAGGGAGACCCGCACCCCTACCCCCCAGAAAGGTTCGATCCGAACCCTAGGATTGGAACTAAGAAGCTTCCTTTGAATAAGCTTTCCGCTCAAGTTTTGTTTGCCTCAAGCAGAGACAAACTACTGAGACTCCCAGTTTGTACTCGGGGAATAGTTCCTAATTCGGAAGCTCCCCTTTACTATGTCAACGACGTTGACAAGTGGATGCCTTGAAAGTAGTATTGGCTAAAGGTGGACAAACAAAAGAGACGACCTTGAACACGTGCAAAAGGGGAGGTTGTACATCTGAACAGATTCACTGCCGTGCATGCCTAAGAAAGTCTCCTTAAACCCGTGGCAATGGACCTCTTTGAGTCAGGTGAGGCCAAATATGACCCGCCCAGAAGAGGCCATGACCCGCATCCCGAAAGGGTTCGATCCGAGCCCTTGCAACGAACCGTCCGTGGGCCCCCAGGCCTTTGGCGCCTGCCGGACATGTCGTTGAGCCGTCAACTAGTCAAAGCTTGCAACCAAAGGGGCCACAAAGAATCAAAAGTAGACACATCCGGACCGATTTACGGGACGGTCCCTTTTCATATACCCGGGTTCTTCTTGCGACTAGTGTAGTTTCCAGGCTCCCCACCTCTTTTTCAAGAGACACCCAACCTTCGACAGCCAGTTGGTTTCTGACCAAGTCAAATGACCCAGAAACATGAGCGTGGCCTGTCCTTTTCATACAGATTGTAGGCCACGTGTCACCCTAACGTGTCGCACAGGGGTTGCAAAGACGCCAATCAACCTGCCGGCCAGCTGAGGAAGAAGCACTTCCTGCATTGCCTCAGCCGCAGTCTGGACCAGGAAGTGGAGGGCCTGGACGTGGATCAAAAGAGCTCGGAGCATAGCTCCTACTTGCAGGCAAGTGGCAAAAATGGGCTGTGGATGGCAACCCACTCAGGACGTGAGCGGGGCAATGGATACAAACGAGACCTCTCCAAATGTGTGTGCATGTGTCTCTCTACACAACTGGATGGACTTCCTTACGATTCCCTTTGCAGCAATGCAACACCACACAGCCCTGGCTGAGACATAAAGCAAAGGTTCAGCTGGCTAGGACTACACAAACAAGGGACAAACATGATAACTTTATGCCTTCGAAAGAGTCTTCAATGAGTTCTGATGTGTTGCGCGCCAACTTCCTATGGCCGGCAGTCCAAAGCAAAGCAGCCCTTTCATTGTTTGGGCGCTTCTTCTCGGCTCATGCTTGGTCAGATCCGACAAGGTGAAGCGTGTTCAGGTCCTTGGGCCAGTTAGCACTGGTTCCTCCCAACCTTCACTCAGTGAACAATCAGTATTCCCCCTAGCGCTACTCTTCGGTTGGATCTCTGATGATCTTTACTCCTTTGGCCGAATGAGCATTGTTCCCGCCAACCAGTGCAGGTCCGCCACTGAATCTCCGCAAAGGGACCCTAGCCTTGCCATGTATTCCCCTTGTGTTCCTTTTGTGGGGGGCTTAAGTATCACTTGTTTGGCTGATCTAAAAAATGATGCAATTCAAAACTGGTTTCCATTTGGCTTGCCTTTGAAGCAACGCCCAGAGAAGTTCTCAGCTTCTGGTGGGTTAGCTTTCCGCGTGTATCTCCAGAATGCTTCCTTCTGTGTAGCCACCAGTGTCCGGTAGATTTCCCTTGAGGGACTGGGACAATCCAACAAGTGCCCTCAAAAACGAGGGTCAAATGTTCAACTGCAATGCGGGTAGGGGCCTGGGACTCAATTTGGCCGTTTTGTGGGTCATACAGCCAACTACGTGAGTTTGACCGGAAAGAAGAAGCCATACGGGGTGCCAGGAAACACAGTTTCAGGGAACCCAGCTCACCTTTCGGGAGTTGCTTCAAAGGGAATCTATCACCACCTGATGTTGTTTTCCAGGGGCTTAAGCACATCGAAGTTTCGACGTCGCGTGTCTCTGAGGCGTATTGCCACGAGACCTCCAGCTACGGCTTGTTGTCGTCCCCGGAGGAGTCCCCGGATGCGTCCCCGGAGGTGTCACCCAAGACCAACATCACAAGGCAACGGAAAACCAATGGCTGTCCAGGATAGGGACGGTTTCTTCGAGAACCGGTCGGCTTCCATTGGCTTAAGGTTATATGTAGTTTTTCCCCTTTTATCGCTTCTGGAAATATGTTATATGGGTTCCGGAGACTCAAGCACATGGAGGTAAGGTGGTATGTGCCTTGATTCGCCCAGCTCGGCCAAAACGAGCGGGATTGGGCAGCTTCAGCCGGCTCAGGTCACCTGAGTTTGGCCCTGACAAGCTTTGAACCATAAAAGACATCACTGCCCCCTCCGGCGCAGAAGGGTCCGCAGAATCGTTCCAAGACCTCTAAGAAGGTGCCAAAAACTGTCGTAAAGTGGCCCGGACGCTCGGCGGATCCCCTGATCCCCCGCACTTCTGCCCGGGCTTGCGATGCCCTTCACAACCCCAAATCGCGCGCGGGCGATTTGTTCCATGGAGTTGGTTCCCGTTGATTTGTTGTAATTTCGCCTGTTTGGTTTAAAAGGGGACCTATCACTACTGCAAGTATGGGCATTTTTGCCAGGGGGCCGAAGTAAATGGACAATTTTATTGTCACATTTGTGTTGCCCAGATGCATTTTGTTAAATCACATCCTTCCACCCACTAACATGAACACGACCGGAAGAGGGCCCTGAGGAAGCAAAATATGTCCAGGGTTCTTTAGTCGGGTCGTGATGTTTCAAGCATCCCTACATTTTCCGTTTTCCAGCCCGTTTAGACGTCGCCTTTTGGCCCCTTTTGGATGAGTTCCCTTTTTGTTTCTTCTTCTTTTTGTTTTTTCCGGGCACATGTGAGCCCTGAGCGCATCTCGATATCCCAGCGCACGGCCAGGGCATCAGTGAGCTTTATTCGCCACTCCTTGCCGTCGCGGGAGTTCAGCCTGGAGAACATGCGCCAAAGCGCCGTGCGCGCGTTGAAGCCTGGCGCAGGATTTTTTTCCTGGTGGGTTGAGTGACTCAGGTTGCCACTTTCCTTCTTTGGGGTCTGATTGAAAGGGACAGCAAAGGGAGAGTCAGTGTGAGGGGATTCATATTTTGGAGACACACCCACGCATATGTGGGGCTTCATCGACATTTTAAGTTGTTCAGGTTGACTACAGCAAATATGAGTTCAGAGTCTGAATCTGAGCGAGGCTTCCGCGATAGCAAGGGAATCTTATTTGTGACAAAGCTGTCAGAAGGATGCACTGCCTCATCGACCGATGTTCACAACCATGCTGCACAAACTCGAGCTCTCAATTGTCCATTGCTGACCTTTTTAACCTTTGGCCGCAACATTCGCCTAAGACGGGGAGTCAAGCTTTCCTTACGCTCTCTGTGCGAGTGAACTATTGGTGGCTACTTTGGCGTTTTAACATGTTGCTCCCTTCCGAAGGCAGAAGCGCCGCCCTGCATTTACCGGAGATGGGATTTGCCTGTTAATGCTACTGCGTGTGCTGGGTTGCGTACCGGAAAAAAAGGGCCTTGAAGGCTTCCGGCCATGTGAAGACACCTCAAGTTCCATCAGGCTGGAAACCTGTTACCTGACTCCAGCCGGGCTCACCATGGTTCAACGACAGACCACCCCTTGCGGTTTCAGGTTACGCTAGACCGTTGAGTTTTCCGCTGATTTGCAACGTTGGTTTGCTTGCGAGCGTTTTGGTGCAGGGCAGACAGGAAGAGGCAATGAGCTTTGACGTTTGTGTCGATTCATATCGTGAGAGTGCCTGTCTCGCTTTGGGGCGGGTTGCTGCGTTTTTTTTTGTTTTGTTTCCCCGTTTTTCCTCGGGAGAGTTCGGCGGGTTGTGAATTTGTATTGTAGCTTCAACAGGACCCATGTGTTGCGGTAGTCATGGCCCTTGCGGAGGTTTCGAGCATCATTGACGTGAATTGTTTATGACTCACCTGTTGTTTAAGGCGGTTTCTTGCGACAGGGTTGTGTCAAAAGCAGACACAAAAGAAAACACATGCGACACGCAGGTTTAACAAATGTCTTCCAAGCCGCCTGTCGCCGAAGAGCAGCGTGGGTTCTTCTTGCCTTTCCGCTGTTGTACTGTTCACGGACGAAATCCTGCACCACCGCAATTGTTTGCCGGCATTTGCAAGAAAATCATCCTGCCGGGATTTCTTAGGGCCATTTGCAGTAGCGCACTTGGCCGGGTCATGTTCAACCACTCCAGAAAAAGTAACGCAAGGGCCCCAGAAGCGACCCCGATTTTTCTTCTTGTATTCAGGAGTTAAGCAGGCTTTAGAGCTCCCAAGCCCCATTGGAAGCACCCTCCCACCAATTAATATGGAACCTGATAGGGGGCCCCTGTCCAGAAGACAATCTTCCTTTTAAGGGACCTGTCAGGATCCATGTTATTTGGCAGGAAGGTATACGGGTATGAGTCAAATTCAATATCCTATGTTTCCATTTGCCCGGGTGCTATGTTCGGTACCTATTTTTGACCCATACCCATATAGGCCCTTTCACTTCAATTCGCGGCAAGTTTGGGTGTCTTTCGCTTAGGAAGAGCTGCCCGGTGGTGGCGACCAGGAGCCAGTCCGAGAATCCAGGAGGCTGGGAAGGGCGCAGCGGCCGAATTCGCCTCCCTTGGCGGATGTGGTTGGGTCCCAATTCGGGTTGTTTTAAAGGGAAACAAAAGGGAACACAATCATTTTGGTGGTTCTCATATTTTGGGAGAAGCCTATTTGGGCCAATCGAAAAATCAGGTTTTACCAGCCGTTTTAGAGGATAAATCATCTGGTTGGTGGGGGAACTGGCTCAACGCAGGGTGCCCCTTTTATGCTTCATGTTTGTTCCCCAATAGCTGCCTCCGTTTTTGGGTGTTTTTTTTCGTCAGCAGTGGTGTCACGGGTGTTTTGGTAGTGTCCCGCTGTTCCGGCTGTGTTTTTCATGGCGCGTTGCAGTGGTGTTTTGGTGGTTTCCTGGTGGTGTTCCAGTTTGTCGTGTTTTAGTGGTTGTTTCCGTTTGCTTCGGTCGCTGGCGCTTCGATTGCAGGTTCCAGGTTGTCCTGGCGTCCCGATTTGCCCACCCCGGTGTACCATGGTGTCCCGGTGCTGGCCTGTCACATTGATTCGGCTGCTGGTGTCCGGCTGTTCAGGTGGTGTTCTGGCGGTTATGTTTGTGCCCTTGTCTTGCCATTACTCCTAATTCGCCTTGCAAGAACTGCCAGAGTTGATTGCCTATGGCGGAGTGGGAGCGTACCCTCACTTCCCAAGTTTCTGGACATACTTCTGGGTGGGGTTGGAACTGTTGATTGCCAGCCCTCCATACCTTTTGAACATAATAGCCGTGATCCCTATGAAAGGAATCAACATCATGGGACGGAACGGGCACGCTGAGATGGATTTGTTGGAGTGGTTTTGGATGATCATGTTGGCCGTGGCGTTGTCTTCCAACCACAAACATGTAATTTGACTAAAGATGTGCCGCGTTCCGTCCCCAAGGAAAGTATGAAGTTGGATCTCTATTGCATCTATACATTTCTTGGAGCCTGCTTCCAAGAAACTTCCAGTCAACATGGCTTAAAATGCAAGCCGGGGTTCCCCTCAATCGGCTTCCTGTGTGTGTGTGTTGTTTGTTTATTCTTTTGTTTTTTCCCGAGGATCCAGAGGTCTGGGAAATGTGACGCAGGCATGGGTGCCCCTGCGTTTTTCCAACCCACCGGCTTGTTTTACTCTCCCACCCACTAAACATGGAATCTGACTGGGGGTGATTCTGAAAGGCAATTTTCCTCTAAAAGGGACCGTGTAGTGGGTGCCATGTTCGTGGACGAAGGGGCACCCTTTCGTGTCCAAAGAGGTCGATCGACAAACGAACAGGCTTGTCCCTGCAAGTGCCGCGAAACGGGAGGCCGCAAGGCCCGGCACTCAGCCATCCAGAGCATCTCCTGGCCCGCCGAGGTGGGGCTGGAGTTCGGCTAGCAGACTCGAAGTCGATGGACAACAGAAACACGCAAATGGAGGTTCATCCATTCCTACTGCCTTGCTCAGTCACCAATTTTCCCAGAGTACCCCTTGCAGTTTTCTTCTGGTGGCCAAGCCTCGATTTGTCAACGTTTCCAGGCAGACAGTGACACAGAAACACAGACAGAAACACAGAGACACAGAGACACAGAGACACAGAGACACAGAGACACAGAGACACAGAGACACAGAGACACAGAGACACAGAGACACAGAGACACAGAGACACAGAGAGACAGAGACACAGAGACACAGACAGAGAGAGAAGCAGCCAGACAGAGAAATTGGCAGAGAGAGACACAGGCAAACAGAGACACAGACAGAGACACAGACAGACAGAGACACAGACAGTCAGAGACACAGACAGACAGACAGGCGGGCAGGCAGACAGAACACATACCTACAAAACATGCAACCATCGGCTCCAAAGCCTCAGCAGCGGGAGAGCACAGCTGACAGGATCGAACATGCACAGCCGCGCGCAGGCACACACCATAAGACACCACTCTCTGCTCCGGAACGAGAGAACAAGGCAAGAAGCACCCACATCAATAGCCAAACTGCGCGCAGCAAACAGCAGGTAGCCCCACACGCAGACAGCGTTCACAAATCAGGCAGCCACAAAGGCACAGGAGAGGCAACCTTGGTAGGTGAACAAAGGGTCCTCTGGCCGGGACTTGCGGAAGTCGGGGCTGCACTTGGGCCTGCCGGCGGTCATCGGACTTCTGTCCGGGATGACGAGATGCTTCTTGATTTGGAGCCGCGCGGCAAGCATGGAAATGCGTCAACCTGGTTGCTGTTTTGTACCATTGATGTCCGGATGCCAAGGCATTGTCGGGCCCGGATTTAGCAGCCTTTCGGGGTTGTTTGACCTCTCAGTGAAGGCTTCTCCCCAGAAAGTCAACCACAAATGGTCCTGGCCCAAACAAGCTTCTTCAGCAGCTTGCCGACGCTTTGCACCCTGGCAAGAGTGCTCTGAGAATCAACCATGAGTTCCACAGAATGCCTAAGATCAGCTGATTGGTAAAGCACAGCTGGGGCCTTGTTATTGTTGTTGTGACTTGTTGTCAGGTATGGCGCGTGAACTTGTTTGGTGGT